GAGTGACAGGATGGTCCTTGATGGACTATTGGTCCCCGGTGACTGGACTGCTGGGGATAGACTGCAGCTACCTTGGCTGTGCCCCAAGATCTCAAGGGTGGGTGAGTGGCTCCTTCCAGTGTTTAAACACTGACCTAGCCCTGCGGCCTGCAGCCCTGAGGCAGAGCGAGCTCGGCCCAGGCAGGCCCGGCCTGCAGCCCCCATGGAAGGTGCGATGCAGCTCCTGAGCCGAGAGGGTCACAGTGTGGCACACAACTCGAAGCGGCACTACCATGACGCTTTTGTGGCTATGAGCCGCATGCGGCAGCGTGGCCTCTTGTGTGACATCGTCCTGCATGTGGCAGCCAAGGAGATTCGTGCTCATAAGGTGGTGTTGGCCTCCTGCAGTCCCTACTTCCACGCTATGTTCACAAGCAAGTACCACATACCTCAGTCTGGGCAGCCTTAGGGGGCTCTCTGCACATCTCCCAGGGCAGGTTGCCTGACCCACTGTCCTCACAGATGAAATGAGTGAGAGCCGCCAGACACATGTGACGCTGCATGACATTGACCCGCAGGCCTTAGACCAACTGGTGCAGTTTGCATACACAGCTGAGATCGTGGTGGGCGAGGGCAATGTACAGGTGAGGCATGCCACTCCCACACCCATACACTTCTGGGGTTTCCAGCCCTAGATCTGTGTAGCCTGGCCTCCCCATGCCTCTCCTCAATCTCCAGTTACTCTGTGCTCCTCTGGCCCCTCCTGCCTGACCCATCTTCGTGCCCCAGACTCTGCTCCCAGCTGCCAGCCTTCTACAGTTGAATGGTGTTCGAGATGCCTGCTGCAAGTTCCTCCTGAGCCAGCTTGACCCTTCCAACTGCTTGGGCATCCGAGGATTTGCAGACACACATTCATGCAGTGACCTGCTCAAGGCAGCGCACAGGTACGTGCTGCAGCACTTCGTGGATGTGGCCAAGACTGAGGAGTTCATGCTGTTGCCACTGAAGCAGGTAACCACTGAAGCAGGTAACATGCCAGTTTGGGCCCAGCCCATACCCTACATTGCCCCAGCCCAGACCCTAGCAGCCAGTGTTCTGCAAGCCTCATTCTCAAGTTTCTGGTGGAAGTTTCACCCTATGATCCATTCCCTGCCCTTCTCCCCACAACCCTCTCACCATCTTCTGACTCCACCTAATTATTTGCCTTAGATTCCTGTTTTTATCACACTCCAGGACCATGATTCCCCAGTCTCTGATTCCACATACCTAAGTCTACTCAGGGCCTAGGACACCCCTCACCCTTCTACCCATCACCACCACTACTGGAACCAAATATCTATGAATCTTGATTCTGCTTGGTCCTCTGGTCTAAGAACATTAAGTGTGTGTGTTGTGCGCCTACATGCACATGCCCTCTGTCTGATACTCTCGGACACCTTCATGGTTTTCTGGGCCCTCCCTTACCCAGATGTCAGGTCTGAGGACCTTTCACCCCTAGGTCCTGGAATTGGTCTCTAGTGATAGCCTGAACGTGCCCTCAGAGGAAGATGTCTATCGTGCAGTCCTGAGCTGGGTCAAACATGATGTAGACACTCGGAGGCAGCATGTACCAAGGGTGAGGCCAGGTCCTGAAGCTCCCATGGTGTCTAGGAGGGAATGCAGGTGGCTAAGGTGTAATCGTATTTCCTTAGCATCTTCCATTCAGGGGCTCCTTTGGGGTGATAATAGGCACCTGTCTCAAGAACTAATCATACAAGTGCTATAGGCACCTGAGTGGGTCTTAGCCCTGGGACAAGTATTCCCTAGGGTCTTGCCTTACCTGGCACCTCCTGCCCTAGCTGATGAAGTGTGTACGGCTGCCTCTGCTGAGCCGAGACTTCCTATTGGGCCACGTCGATGCTGAAAGCCTTGTGAGGCATCATCCTGACTGCAAGGATCTGCTCATTGAGGCTCTTAAGTTCCACCTGCTGCCTGAGCAGAGGGGTATTCTGGGTACTAGCCGCACAAGACCCCGTCGCTGTGAGGGTGCTGGTCCTGTGCTCTTTGCCGTTGGTATGCTGATCCCCTTCTCCTTCCCATTCTTGCCCTAGGTCATCTACCCCAATTCAGAATACAAACAAAATCCATTACACTTATGACCTGTGTGTGTCAAAGACCCTGTTGTATGGGGGTGCACCAGTGTGACCCAGTCCCCCTCTCTTCCCACCCCCAGAACCTTCATGGCTTTGCACTTGGGTTGCACTAGAGCCCCCTGCCCTGCCTTTCTGAGCCCCTTTACTTACTCTGCCACCCACCTTCCAGGTGGTGGGAGCCTGTTTGCCATCCATGGAGACTGCGAAGCGTATGACACTCGAACTGACCGCTGGCACGTGGTGGCCTCCATGTCCACACGGCGGGCCCGTGTAGGAGTCGCCGCTATTGGGAACCGACTGTATGCTGTGGGCGGGTAAGCATAGAGGCTGGACGTGGGTCAAGGGTTTGTCACATACCTGCCAGGCCATCCTTGATCAGTAGTGGGTTCTTCTCCTAGCTATGATGGAACCTCAGACCTGGCGACAGTGGAGTCCTATGACCCTGTGACAAACACCTGGCAGCCCGAGGTGTCCATGGGCACAAGGCGAAGCTGCCTGGGTGTAGCTGCCCTGCATGGGCTTCTGTATGCAGCCGGCGGCTATGATGGGGCTTCCTGCCTCAACAGGTAGTAGTTTGGGTTAGGGCCCCAGTGGCCTTGAAGGGTTGGCTCAGCAGCAGCAAATGAGGCTGACTTCACTGAAGTCACATCTGGCCAAGAGAATGAGGTCCTGCCTAATCTAGGCTACCTGGTCTCCAAGGCCTCTTCACCTCAGACCACAGCATCAGTGGGGCCTTGGTATCATTCCACTCCTTTGACTCTCTGTGTCCGTCCCTTCAAGTCCAAGCAGCCAGTAGCCTGTGCCCACCCAGCACACCTTGCTCTCCATTCATAGTCCATGATGCCCAGCACAGGATTTCAACCACAGCCTGGGGGGTGGGGGATGGCAGGGGGACAGGTCCTGGGAAAGGGTCACTTTGCTGTAGTTGAACATAGCATCATTCTGGTGCCCACAGTGCTGAACGGTATGACCCACTGACAGGAACGTGGACATCCATTGCTGCCATGAGCACGCGGAGACGATATGTGCGTGTGGCCACACTTGGTGGGTGACAGGACCTGCTTCCTGCGGTACCCACTTTCCTGCCTACCCCTTCCCACTCACCCCCAAAGCCCCTACACCCTGCAGGAGCTCCGTGGGTCTATTGCCTTCCCACAGATGGGAACCTGTACGCCGTGGGTGGTTATGACAGCTCATCACACCTGGCCACCGTGGAGAAGTACGAGCCCCAGGTGCATAACGCACCCCTATCACAGTTTCCTCCTCTCAAATGCTGGGTGGCGAGGGGTGTAATCCCATCTTCTGGTCACCTGTGCCATCCAAGGGTTCTACTTTCTATACCCTAACTCTCAGATACCCAGCCAAGGGTAGAGTCTGTGTTGTGGCAGGGGTGGGTGCTTTGTTGGGTCTGCCTCCAGCCTGTCCCTTTGTCTCTACAGGTGAATTCATGGACACCTGTGGCCTCCATGCTGAGCCGGCGCAGCTCTGCAGGAGTAGCAGTGCTGGAGGGTGCCCTGTATGTGGCAGGGGGCAACGATGGCACAAGCTGCCTCAACTCAGTGGAGAGATATAGCACCAAGGCTGGTGCCTGGGAGAGTGTGGCACCCATGAATATCCGCAGGTGTATAAGGCCAGGGGTGGGTGGTGAGTGGTTCTGCCACTACATCTGGTTTACTCCAGGAGCCTTGCTCCAGGGGTGGTGTACACAGCACCTCAGCAGTGCAGCTTGGGTTCCTCCTGGGCACCCGGTGCTCCTTTCCTAGTCCTGTCCCCGTGGTTCCTCCTTTTGCACCCCACTCATTTGGCTTGTCTCTCGACCTACCTTTTGGGCTTACTCTTGCCTACCCAACCCCCAGGAGCACACATGACCTGGTGGCCATGGACGGATGGCTCTACGCTGTAGGGGGCAATGATGGCAGCTCCAGCCTCAACTCCATAGAGAAGTACAACCCAAGGACCAACAAGTGGGTGGCAGCATCCTGCATGTTCACAAGACGCAGCAGTGTGGGTGTGGCAGTGCTGGAGCTGCTCAACTTCCCACCACCGTCCTCACCCACGCTGTCTGTGTCCTCCACCAGCCTCTGACACACGACAGACTGCACAGAGGTCCTGCCGCCTCCCACATGCCTTAAACCCTATGGGGTGGCCCTTCCACCTCTGTCTCCTCCACCAAGTGTTAGGGCAGATCACATACCCCACCAGGGATTTCCTGTTTCTCCTGTCTTGGTTTCTGTATTCACTCGTCATTGTTCATTTATTTGTGTGTGCTGTTTGTTTACTCACTAATTTATTGATTCACTATTTATTGATGGATGAGAAGTGCTGCAGCTACCAGTTCACACAATTACTCTCAAGTGTCAGCTCTCCTGCATGTAGGGGACCAAGAAGCCCTTTGGAGCATCCTCTTTCCTGGCTCCCTTCGTGAAGCAGCAGGGAACGCTGCGGGTGGACACTCACTGAAGGAGGATGGACAGCACAGCTGGGCTTTACAAACAGTAGGGGGCAGAGCAACTGTCCCAACAGAAGAGGCCAGGGCTTTCTAAGAAGATGCAGCCCCTAGCCGACGCTTTGCACATAGCACTTATCTGTCTCTACCAGGCACTGCTCCTGAAGGGCACAAAGCAGACATCTTTCCCGTGTCTTGTGTATACAGTGTGATGTCTTTTCTGGATTTTCTGTGGAACTGGGCACACAACATGCACTTATATCCCACACAGCAATATGAGCCAACTTGAACAATAAACATGTTTTTTGGGCTCCATGGGCCTGAGACTGAATGTCCATCTCTGGCCCCTTTTGTATCCTCTGCTTGCGGGCCTGCAACACACCTTTGGCTTTTGTCTGGACAGCAAGACAAAGGTCTATAGGCAAGTGTGCGACTAGACTCAGAAGCTACATTAATTTCTGAGGCTGCACAATGGCACTTTTTCATCCAAATGGAGCAGAGACAGGTGTCTCTGTTGACAAATAGAGACAGTCTGTTTACCATAGTTCTGAGGCTCCTATGCTCTAGGGCTATGGGGTGCATGAGAAAGATGGACCCCTTACTTTATCATATCTCTCTTGAGAACCTGGGAGGCATGTGGCCTCTTTCCTACATTTGGTTAAGCTTTGAGAACCCTGACTTGGGTCTGAGTGGGGGTTGGCCCAGGCAGGAGAGAACCTGGGGAAGGGTTCTGGCCTCCCTTTATATGGAGTAGCTGAAAGTGAGCACACTCCCCCTACAGTCACCAGTGACTCAGACCAGCTGGGATTCATGTGGAAACAGGATGTATATGCCCTGGCAGGGGCGGGGCAACTGGGTGGAAGGATCCCTGTGCTCATAGAACTCCATCATCCAGGCACTTACTGTCTGAACCAGGTAGACAGCGTGTATACAGACCAGGCCCTCCTAGCCAGGCCTATACAGACTGCTGAGGTTAGGGTCCTAGACCAGTCAGGAAATGACTGCCTCACACCAATCCGCCTACCTAGGACCTAGAAAACCTGGGCCCTCACTGGAAGGTTTCCTTCAGAAAGGGCCCAACCCGGGCCCAGAGAGAAGACTCCTCCTGCCCCAGGGTAGGGGCAAGACGTCTTATGGTCACGCCCACTGGCGGGAGGTGTTAGCAGACGGGACCGAGGACTCAGACCTGTCTACCTTCGCAGCCCAAGCTAGCAGCTGCCATCCATGGGGAACAGCCACTGCGTCCCTCAGACTCCCAGGAGGCTACGAGCCTCCTTTTCCAGAAAGCCCTCGCTCAAGGGAAACAGGTGAGAGGTGTGGCCTGGCCTCAAGGGAACAGGGTCTCCCTGGACTTGCTACCTGCGCCAAGCCTTGAGCCTCCGGTTTCCCTTGTTCCCAGAGAGGACAGCTCCAGGAAGCTGGCCGGCCTGTTTGGCACCGAGGCTAGGCCTGATGGGGACACCGCGGCTAACAAGATCTTCCACTACATCCCCGGGACGGTGAGCGGAGGGGCGTGTCTGGCAGGAGCGGTATGGCACTGGGCCTGAAGTCTGAGTACAATTTTGTGCTTCTCCTGTATGATTGTGTGTGTCACAGTGTGAGTGATAATGTGAGAATCGCATCTTCCAGCAACTCAGGGTCCTCCCTGGCCAGTTTGAAGGGATTCAGATACAAAACAAGATGAGGAAGTTGACACTGCCCCTCCCTGGGAAGCTCACCCAAAAGTCTAGGTTGAGAGTGAAACCAAGACAGGCACTGAGTCAGTGGGGAGCAGGCAGAGCCTGCCCGGTCTGTTGTACATCCAGGGGCACAGTGGCCACCCTCAACCTTCCCTATCCCAACCTGGGTCTTGGTGGGCCCAACAATTGTGTGGGGGTTCCTAGTAAATATCACACTTCAGGCTTGAGTTCCCAAGGGTTACCCACCCCTAGCTGTTTCTGGTTATCTGCAGCCTATAGCTACCATGTCGCCATATAGGCAGGCACCCATCCCCATACAGCAGTGAACCAGCTACCGATAGACCTCCTGTCATAAGACGTCAGAGGGCTAGCCATTCTGTGGGTCTACTTAGAAAAGATACCTTTCCCCTCCCCTTTTCCAAACTCTCTGGCAATACTTGGGAGGAGCCTGGGCTGCAGGTCTGACAGGAACACCTCCTCCTGTGCTGGTCTTGGAGAACCACACCCACCCAGTGAGCCAGGCTCTATGTGCAGTCTCTACCAGGGCTGGGGCAAGTCTCCCATCCTGTATTCGTGGGTGCTGCGACTGATGTAAACTCCCAAAGCAAACCTTTCTCACAGGCTCCCAGGAAGCTAGAAAAATTGTATCTCAGCCCTCCTGGTCCCTGAGGTCCCAGAGCTCTCTGCAAGCATGTGTCACCTTTAGAAACCTTGCTGCCTCAAAGAGATAGAGAGGAAGATGGAGCCTGAAGTGACCAAGGGTGGCATCCCTCCTTGGCCACATCGAAGACCCTGACTCCCTCTAGTCAGACCCTCTAGGACAGAATTCTGGAATGGAATCCCAAACCTATTAGGTAGTTGACCCTAGCCAGGACACAATAGCTGGAAAGGAGGTGGTAGAAGGGGAAGAGGTCCTGGCCAGGCATGTAACTACTCCTTTTGTACACTACCTAGGCTATGGACTCTAGGTAGATTCTGCACCTGAGCTAGAGCTGGTCCTGCCACAGCGCCAAGCTAAGCCCTCCTGGAGGCAGAGTTCCAAGGCACCAGAACCAGCTTCATAGCCCTTCCTATCCATGGCCTGTTTCTCAGTTTCCACAGTGGGTGTAGGTGCAGGAGGCCCCACCCAGAGTCAGTGAGGATGGAAGCTGTTTGTGTCTGTTCACATTCCTAGGCCGGCACTGGAGGTAGTTCAGCTTGGCCAGTGTGAAGCAGCCCATGCAGGTGATCCTGGGCAGCTCCCAAAAGCAACAGAAGCCCTCTCCTAAGTCTCTCTCCCTGCCTCCCAGCACGTCCCAGGTCATCTCCTAGGCTTTGTGGAATTAGCAGTAAACAGAATACAACGCTACACCTGCCCTCACCTTTTTCCATTCCTATGTCAAAGTCAAACAAGAGAAGATACAGTAAGCCAGACTAAGTCGGGCGGTAGTGGTGCACACCTTTAATCCAGCACTTGGGAGGCAGAGGCAGGCGGATCTCTATGAGTTCGAGGCCAGCTTGATCTACAAAGTGAGTTCAGGACAGGATCCAAAGCTATGCAGAGAAACCCTGTCTCAAAAAACAAACCAAAAAAGAAAGAAAAAGAGAGAGAGGAAGGAAGGAAGGGAGGGAGGGAGGGAGGGAGGGAGGGAGGGAGGAAGGAAGGAAGGAAGGAAGGAAGGAAGGAAGGAAGGAAGGAAGAAAAGAAGGGAAAAACAATAAGATAGACTAAATAAGTACTAAATGAAAAACCCAAGGCTGAAATTTTAGGGCATCGAGAAATAAGGTAAAACCTGAGCAAAGCCCTGCTGAAGGGGGTGGAATGAGGAGTTAAGGTTGAGTAGTCACAGCAGAGATTACACATGCAAAGGTGAGACACACATGTGCCTTATGTAATGGAAAAATGAAGGAAAGGACTGGTCCCCAAATTCAATCCTCAGACCATTGTCAATGCTTTGCCCTCTACTGTGAGATAGGTACTGTGTACATAGTAAGCTGGGGCATCAGCAAAGACTCACAAAAGCTGACTAGTATCTCTTTCCAGTTCCAAGTTTACAGACATCATGTTGACAACTCAATTTGGGCAGTATTGGGAATAATTACAGCAAAGAAATTAGCAAATATTACAAGCTAGAACTTTTGATTGTTTGTTTGTTTGTTTTCATAGACCAGGTAAAATAAAACATTGCCAGTTGTCACTGGACATTTGAGAAGGCTTTAAGCATTATCTCATCCTTATAATATACCTCAAACTCTTTGACAAATCTGGGGGTGTTGAATGACCAAAGTCAAGTTGCATAGCATAAAAGGTAATGAAGATAAGGACTGAACCCACTATGTACCAACCTCAGTCTGTACCACAGAGCAGATAGCTCTGACTGTGGGGAATCATATGTATACATATGGTGTGTACATATTCCACTTTTCATGTGAAGAGGCTTAGGTGTGTAGGGGGTATGCATGTATGTGAATGTTTTGATGAATGTATTCTGTGACTATGCATGGACAGATCAGAACTGTATGCAGCAGCCATGTTTATATTGCCTGGGGATCTGGCCCCATCTGGTCCCTCTCCTAAGCCCTGCTCCTCCAGGACATCCCGGGCCTGGAAAATCAGCCAGAAAATCTGGAACAGCCATTCCTGAGTGTTTTCAAAAAGGGGTGGCGGAGGACACCCGTGAGGAACCTAGGCAAGGTTGTGCACTATTCCAAGGTTCAGCTGCGGTTTCAGCACAGCCAGGTAAGAGCCACAGCAGGTTGGAGAATGCTTGGGGACCAACTTCCATACTACCCCAGGGCTATCCCCCCACCCTCTGAGACTAGTGGCCCTGCTCTCCCCTAGGACATCAGCGACTGCTATCTAGAGCTGTTCCCCTCCCACCTGTACTTCCAAGCCCATGGTTCTGAAGGACTTACATTCCAGGTGAGTGGTATAGACAGAGGGAGGTGCTGACTCTGTTCCTTAGGAGTCCCTGCAGTCTCTCCTATACTGTCCTCTGGCAGGGGCTGCTACCACTGACAGAACTGAGCATCTGCAGGATTGATGGGTCCAGAGAGCATGCCTTCCAGATTACAGGTGTGTGGAGAGTGCTGGCCTGGCCACCACTGGACCAGGACCCCTTGGAGAGGAGACTTTCCTGTGAGCTTCTAGGAGCTCTAAGCTTTGCCCCAGCCCACTTGACTCTTCTGCCCCCAGGCCCACTGCCTGCCCCGCTCCTTGTCCTCTGCCACAGTGAAGCTGAGCTCAGCCACTGGCTTTACCATCTGGAGAAGCAAATGGCTCTCTTGGGGGGTCTGCAACGCTGCCACTCAAGCCCCCCACAGGTCAGTAGCAGGAAACTGTAAGCCTGTCCCCTGCTCAGACTCTCTGGCCTGCCTGTGACTTACTCCTTCCTCTTTCCCAGAGTTCCCTAGGGGATGAACTCCCCTGGACACGGCTATGGAGAGTATCCGGGTGTGAATCCATGGGCAGCGCAATCTGTGCCTCAAGGGTCAAGCTGCAGCATCTACCCTCTCAGGTGGGTGGGAAAAGACATGCGGTGCAATGAGACAGGGAAGGATACAGGAGCAGAGAAGGCTGGATTCTAGGTGCCCAACCCAACTCTAGCCTTTGGCCCTTTACAGGAGCAGTGGGACCGGATTCTGGTACTATACCCAGCATCCCTGGCCATCTTCTCTGAGGACCCAGATGGACTTACCTTTAAGGTTGGCCCTCTCCATATATACCTGTCCCAAAAGGTGCCCTTTGTGGGGTGGGAGTGAAGACTCAGAAACCTGTATTTCAGGGCTTGTTGGGACAGAGCACAGTGCTCCACCCATCTGGCCCCACTGCCCTGGTCAATCTGGTCTCTACTCTGGCACAGAAGAGGAGTCTCCACCCTCTACAACCCTTCTCATCCTGGAGGGACATCACTAACTGGAGTGGGTGGAATGGAACATGCTACTTCTTGGAATCCCTGGTGCATGCTTCCCCTTGTCTCTGAGCACCTTTGTGCATTGTGGTGTGTGTGTGTGTGTGTGTGTGTGTGTGTGTGTGTGTGTGTGTGTGCGCACGTGTGCGTGCGCGTTAGGGACCAAAGCATGATGCATGATACTGGTGTGTATTCACAGTCACTTAAAAACACATCAAGGGGACTTCACTGGCTGACATAGGCTGGTGAAGAACCAACAGGAAGTAAAGTGGAGATGTCCCAGAACAAACAAAGCTGCCTAGCCTTTCTCAGAGTGTCTTCCTCAGTGTTAAGTGGCCTGAGTTTCCAGTCCAGCTCTGGAGGGCAGGATGGAAGGATAGGGTCAGGAAGAGGCTGAGATGACACAGATAAATACCTAGTCCTCATGCCACAGGGGGAGCTTCCGCTAAGTGCCATCCACATCAACCTAGAAGAGAAGGAAAAGGAGATCCGCTCCTTTCTCATCGAAGGTAGGGTCCTACCCAGAATCTTAACCCACTGCCCAACTGGGCTTCTAGTAGGGGTGAGTATGGTAGATGCCTCAACTCTTTGCTGGGGTCTCTGTGGAGTAAGGTCCTGCCAGACCTTAGCTCACATGTCTGTGTGCTAGGTCGCCTCATCAACACCATCCGCGTGGTATGTGCCAGTTACGAGGATTACAGTCAATGGCTGCTGTGCCTCCGGACTGTCTCTCACAGGGATGGGGCCCACCTGCTGTCTGGCCCAGAGAATTTCCCAGGACTACATGGACCAACAAAGGTGAGGGGTCAGTGAGGTCCCTATAACTCAGGTGGTACAAACTAGGGAGCAGAAGGGTAGGTCCAAGCAGGGACAGATAAGGAGACAGATCCAGCCACTCATCTTACCTCTGCTGCTTAGGCTGTGAGTAGAGGCCGAGGTCCACTCTCTTTCAATGGACGAACCAGCTGGAAATTAGAGTGTCCAGTGCTCCCCACCAGCCAATCCCTCCCTGAATCTTCAATGCCAACCACTATAGGCTTCCCTGCCCAGCCTGTACCTGTAAGTACCTAAAGGATTGACATGGGATGGGGGTAAGAAAACACAGGTCGGAGGCTGGAGAGATGGCTCAGAAGTTAAGAGCACTGAATGCTCTTCCAGAGGTCCTGAGTTCAATTCCCAGCAACCACATGGTGGCTCACAACCATCTATAATGAGATCAGGTGCCCTCTTCTGGCATGCAGGCAGACATGGAAGAATGTTGTATACGTAATAAATAAGTAAGTCTTAAAAAAAGAAAAAAAAAAAGAAAACACAGGTTCCACTGTCCCTCAGTGACCCTGGGCCATAGTTCGGCAGGGAGGGCACTTGAACTGGAGGGACCTTCATACAGCTCATAGAAGAGTATGTGGGAAAGAACCCTGGAGATCTTTCTGGATGGTTCTTGGTATCCACAGAACCAGACCAACTCTAACTGTGTCAGCACTGGTCGAAAGAAGACAGAGCTGAGGCACAGTGGGAGTAGCCAGTCACCCAGGGGCTCAGCTGTCCCACTGCCCCTGCACCTGGACCTAACTAAGGTGAGCCCACCGCATACCCTGAACTCAGACCACCATCCCTTCTGCTTCTACTTCCTTGCTTGCCTAGATGGGACACACAGAGACCTCATGATCTGAAGACAGAGGTTCTTGCTGCGTCTAACTGAGGGAACCCATGTATCTCCTTCTTGTAGGTGAGTGTGCTGGACTTAGACAACAGCTCAGAGGCTCAGGACCACTCTTCAGATATCCCACACTCCCCGCTGTATGCTGATCCCTACACACCACCAGCTACATCTCACCGCAAGATTACGGACCTCCAAGGCCTAGATGAGGTCAGTGCCCTACTAGGTGGATATGCTACAGTGAGATCAGGAGATGTCAGAAGCCTGAAGTCTATGAAGGGAGAGTGTTTCTGGGCATGGGATCCCTGGGCTTCACAGTGGTCCCAGACCAGGGCTTCAGAAAACCCACATTTTCCCAGCAGTTCTTCTGTGCGATGCAGACATCACCTGGACCTGAGCTATCAAGCCCGTTCCCCTCAGTCTCCGTGTCTGTGCCTGTCTCTGACTCCTCCAGCTCTCCTAGGCCTCTGGGCTCCCATTTGCTCTCCAAGAAAGGTGCCCTGCAATCCAGAGCTTCCCAGAAACACCGGGGTTCCATCAAGAACAGAGGGCCACGGCCTTCAGACCTCCCTCAGCTTGTAAGTCACCTCCTCCACTCTGGTGTGGAGGCCTCGGGATCAGGGGATGTTGGGTAGAGGGTTCTAGAACTCCAAGGAGAAAAGCAAAATATGGGACAGGGAGAAACCAGGGACAGAGACAGTGTGGTAGGACAGGAAGCTAGAAAGTAAGAGAAGAAAGTGGCAAGGGTCTGGCCGATCAAAGAGGATGATCAGTGCGGGCTTTAAGGCTTGTGTTTTGGGGCTCCCAGGTCACCCCTGCCAGAGAAAGTACACCGAGTTCCCTGCCACCTCCCCCAGGTGAGTGAGGGTCTTCTCTCCTTCAGGGAAGGGGTGCTACTTCCTAAAGGCTGATCCCTGACTTGTCTCTGACATCCCTAATAGATGAAGAGGCTCCCACCTGGAACAAGACTTCCTCTCCCTCCCCCCAGAAGTGGCCACAACTCAGGAAGACTCCAGTGGAGATGGGACTCATCCAGTGGATCTAATGAGCCCCAGGTGGGCTACTTCTTGGAAACATAACCAGCCATCACCAACCTGGACAAGGGTATGCAGCCATACCAGTCCTGTGACCTACATTAAATCCACCAGGGCCTCACCCTAACAGGTTGAGTCTCTAGAACTCTGAGGATAGAAGCACCTCTCACCAGGTTCTAACTCATCAGCTTTAGCAGCTAAAGCAACTAAGAGAACAAACCAGTGAGGGACATCAGTGAGATCCTGGATATCCCCAGGCTTATATCTTTAGGGAAGAAAGAATGAAAGTACTAGGAACAGGTCTTAGAACTGGGGCACTGCATGAGTGTGAAATTCAAAGCACTAGAAAAGTCAGGTTGTCAAACTCAGCATGTGACGTCAGAGGACACGAGGGCCAGAGGTCAGGAGGGTGACAGCTATCACAAGAAGCAGAGGAGTATCAGAAGACCTAGTACTGCTGGGTGCGTAGGGTAAGGCTGGTCAGAAAGATTAACACCATAAACAAGAAAAAGACTTTATTGGTTCTGTGTCCCTGCGTTTCCCTCTGAGCAGCCAGAGTACTCCACCATCCTAAAGACCTTCGGGTGCTGTCTTTACTGTACCACCTCAGTCCCTTCACCTACATTCCCACTCTACAACTTCTCTCAGCCTTGGCGTCATTCAAGCTCCCTATAGTATCAGAAGACAATCCTTCCATAGGATACTATCAGATTCTATGTATATCCTATCCAGGGCTCTTGGAGAAGATCCAGCCCTGCCTCACAGATCCCATATTGCAAAGGTCTCAGAAACCATCCCCAGAGGTATCCCCCTAGAACAGTGGTTCTCCACCTGTGGGTTGCAACCCTATTGGAAACCCTCTAGCTCCAAAAATATTTACATTATGATTCATAACAGTAGCAAAATTACAGGTATGAAGTCACAACAAAAATAATTTTATGGTTGGGGGTCACCGCAGCATGAGGAACTGTATTAAAGGGTTACAGCATTAGGAAAGTCAAGAACCACTGTCCTAGAACCTATTCATCGACTCAGGCCAGGCCTAGGCAAGCTGTGGCTGCGGTGCCTCAGGGATCAGGGCCTTGGAGGACCTTGCCAGCCAAGCCTGCCTTTCAATAGGGCAGAGTTCTTGGACTGCTTCACTCTAGCTTTGAAATCTCTTAATAACCTCTTGGCCCAGATCCAGAGGGGCCTTTCTGATTTTACACTTATTGTAGAGTCCCCTTCTGCTGCCCATCCCTTATTTATGACTGGACAGAAGATAGGGTGCCCAATTAAATTGGATTTCAGATAACCACAAATAATTTCTTCACAAGTACACCTCAAGAACTTCATGTAAATTCAAATATAGCTATGTGCCCTGTGGTTTTTACTTGCAAATCTGGTGCCCTATTACCCAAATCCTGGCTCAGTCCACAATTCTGAACCTCTACCCTCTCAGGTTTGGAAAACGGCCTTGGCCTTAGCCACTGGCTGGACCCTTAGGTTGAGTCCAAATCAGTCAGCACCAAGGACACTGGCTCCTTCCTAGATGCCAAAGAAGATAGGGTTCAAAGGTGGAGAGAAGAACAACATCTTGTCCTTGTCACCTGAGTTCATCCCAGTGCCGCACACCTCACCAGGCCAGCCTGGCTCCTAGCAGCTTGGGCTTGAGTTGGAACTGGGTCTTGGTCTGCCATTATGCCCTCTCCCAACCTGGCGGCGGAAGTAGCGGATAGCAGAAATGGTGCCAATGTTGGCCAGCAAGACTGTAAGAGAGACACAAGATATCCTGAGTGCCAGCTCTGGCTTCTCACTACCTTCTGCCTACATAACCTAGCCTTCAAAGGACAGTATGTTGGAAGTAGGTTAGCAATGACAAAACCAAGGTCAAAGAGAGCCTGAACCTCCCAAGTACTCTTATTTCTGCTGGCCCAGCAGATATGGTAAACAACTATAGCCCCTAGGTCTTCTAGACATCATACCCCCTGTCCCGAGAACCTCCAAACCTGTTTTCCAAGCATCTGGAGCGTGTAGATCAGAGGTTCTCACAGCCCAAGTGGCAAAGGCAACAAACACTAGGCACATGTCATTCTGGCTGAATGTAAAGGAAGTAAGGGGATTCCGTAGCTCTCCTAGGAAAGAAAAGGACATTAGATGCTCCTCTCTGAGATATGTGTGACATAAAATACCATCTGTCCTAGAGAAATACATTGAGTCAAATCTTCCACATGACTTCTCTTCTTTAAGACACTGGATACTATGTATCATAGTTGAGTCAGAACAATTTGGGTGCTTTGCCTTTAGGGTCTTCTGTTTTCTGGTTTGTGAAATAGTTTCCAGAGGGGAAAGGAGATATTTTTCCACAGTGCCTCAATACAGCCTGGCCTGAGTGGGAATGTGCCCCTATTACCTGCCCCCATAGAACCTGGAGGAAGGTTCCTGACAACACCTAGAATTGGACTTAGGACAGTGTTCAGTGTCAAAACCAAGCTGTCCCATCTGGACTGTGTCCTGGGGTATCTTAGGAACTTAACCTTGCCTCATGCAGATCCAAGAGCATACATACAAACACATCCACACAGACAGGTGATCAGGATCATTCCTGCTTCTCTCCCATATCCTCTTGGCCTAATTCCCTAGACAGTATGCTTCCAGGACCTGGATCAACACCTACCTGCCTCTCTGATCGCCAAGCTAAGATGTTCTTCTGTAGCTGGAACAGGCATGGAATATGCCTCAGGCCCTACTTCCCTGAAGAGCTCTGAGGTCGGCAGCTGGACACGGGTGGCCGGTGGTTGACTGTTACCAAATCCTTCCTCTGTAAAGAAGTGTTCATAGACCTCAGGGATGGAGATAGGCACTAAATCTCCAGGGGGAGCAGGTGCCACAGCCTCTGCCCTTGGGGGTGGGGCTGGGGAGCGTCCCCTCTGACAACTTGACCTTTGGGTTCTACTGTCCTGAAAAAAGAACTCGCATGAGTCAGGCCACTGGACGTCATCCAGGGCTTGGCTGGCTGCTGCCTCATCCTCTACATCTTCATCTTCCTCTTCAATAGTATCACAGAAGAAGAACTCATAGGCCTCAGGGAGAGTCACTGCATAGCAGCTTCCAGGCTCAGGTTCTGCTGAGACAGAGGATGGAGGAGGAGGCAGGTGCTTGAGGATCCGAGGTTGGGGAAGTCGGGGCCCAACAGCCACAGCATCCCAGGCTGCAGACCCCCCACGGCTCCCTGCTGCTGTCCTAGGAGCTGAGGGCCAATCTGGGGTTAAGAAGGGTGGGCCTGTAGGCTCAACTGATCCTGATTCTTCGTGGGTAGGTGCAGCCATGGAGAATCGTACTTTCTTCTTCTTGGGGGTTTGGGCAGGACCTAGACGAGGCTCCCCTGAGGAATATTCCAAGGACCCTGCTGAGAGCTGCCCTACTGGCTTCTCAGAGTATCCTCCAGAAGGCACAGTCACATCTGTATCCACCAAGGCAGCTTCAGCCTGGGAAATAGAGGACAAGGAAGGCATAGCGGGTACAGACACACTCTCTTCAGACTCGGTCTTTGAAACAGAATGAGGCAGATCTGGACAGACTACTGGGGCAGGCACAGAGGGATAAACTTCTGCCTTGATCTCTGAGCCTTCTGTGGATAGGTCCTCACGCAGTCCAGGTACGCAAGCAGGGGCAGACTCAGTTTTGTCCGGTTGAAAGAAGGAGGCAGGGGTACACAAAGCCATGTCAGGATCAGAGGCAGGTGTAGACTGTTTTGTATTGGGTTGACATTTGGAGGCAAGTGTGGACAAAGTCCTGTCAGATGTGGAGCCAGGTGTAGACAAAACTATGTCAGATTGAGGTTTGGAGGCATGTTTAGACAAAGCCGTGCAGGGTTGAGGCTTGCAGGCATGTGTAGAGAGAGACGCATTTGGAGAGGTGATGGAGACATCTGGCTGAGGTTTGGATGTCATGTGTAGCTCAGCGCTGGGTGTCTTTCTGGTCTGGTCTGTATCTTGTTCAGTTATTAGAACAGGTGTAGATGGGTCCAAGCCTGACTCTTGTCTGGCCATCTGTTCAGGGATGCTAGAGCCAAGTTCAGAAGCACCTGCAGGGTCTGACTGTGGCTTATCCTGCTGGTCTTTTGCCATTAATGTCCCAGACACAAGAACCCCCTTGGGCCTGGTCTCCGTAAGTTGTGGGGAGCTCATCTGAGCAGCAGGAGAGCCCAGAGATCCAGAGCACTTGACCCCCTTGGCGCCCACAGCACGCCTCTTCTTACGACCAGGGTTCCGCAGTGGAGCTTCAAGGTTGTCTGGGGGACTCTGAGGGATGGCACTGTGGCCAGGGGACTCCGGACTATGAGAGGGCTCACCAGGAGATCTGGGAGCAGGGCCCTGCAAAAGCCTCTGCATCTTGTCCCTGGAAATTGTTGACCCAGGGAAGGACGAAGCCTGGCCAGGACAGACGCTGTCTGAGCTGAGAAACAGTAGAGCTTCTGACTGTGTGGACGTGCTGGCTGACTGATGACTGGCTTCTAGAGCCAGGACAGGCTCACACTGAGACCTGCTGACCAGCTGCCGAGTAGCCACGTCCTCCAGTTCACAGCCCTGTTGTCCCCTCCCCTGGGGAGCCAGCTGCCCAGTGAAGAGGGGTGGGGGCCCAGGGGGGCTGCTTCCGCTGCTGTCCCCTTGGTCAATGTCACTGGACAAGAGCTCGTCACCAGAGGCCAGGCCAGCCTGCAAGAGGCCACACTCATCAGCAGTGGCAGAAAACTCAGCCCACTCTCGATCACTGAGCTGGACACTATACTGGAAGTTGTCCATTGCACATCAGCAGAAGTGCTGGAGTGACAGCAAGACTTTGGGCCAGGCAGGGTCTTCACAAATCCAGGTTCCATGAACTAAGTAGTACACACTGCTACCACCTTGCCTGACCTCGTAGTACCTGCCCCCGCCCTGGTAGTCCATTTCCGTCTGGAGGAACCACAAGACAGACTCCGCTTCTTCCAGATTCTTCTAATTCATTCTTCGAGTTAGAAATCTACTTCAGTTTCCCCTATTTTCAATTTAACTCCAAATAACTTTACCATGACACATTGTCACAGTCCTAAAATGAAATATTATTTTATTATATATTATTATATTATATATTTAATATATATTAGTGAAATAAACTAAAGACCAGCATTAGTCGCGTTTGAATAGTGTTCCCCCACATCTCTGAGATCTTTCAATGGGATTGATTTCCCTTCTCAACTTCTGTCACAGTGGTCTGCATCAAAGACCATCCATCAGAGATCAGTTCCCTCCAAAGGTCATTTCTAGCCTCCCCAGCCACCACTATTGGCAGCTAACCATAGAAGAGGATCTATAGTATCTGTAAGTGACTAGCCTTCTGGATGATGACCTTCCACCAGCCTTGGCTGGAACACGTTTTCTGAGTCTACCAAGGTCATGTTGGTACTGGTCAGAACCTGCTCAAAAGTTTGTAAAAGGAGCCTAGGCCAGAGGTCACATACTTATGTGAGCTCTCCTGAGCCCCAGCAATCTGCTCTGGCAGTCCTCGGGGTCTGTACTCCCATCTCGTTCTGCCTGACTATCCAAAGCCCCATTTTGCCATATCTCAATGAACCAAGATAACCAGACCTAGCCAAGGCCTCCAGCCTCTGCCCCCTAAAGGGGCTACTCTTGGGGCCTTGGTCAGCTATATGTAGAATGAGGAGAGTGGGAGGTCACTATGACTGGAACAATCCTAAGTGAGAAAAAACACTGGGGGTTTCCTAACTTCCAGCCCTTCTCCCCTCTCTTGTCCCTGGAGAAGCCATGGCAAAGCTTTCCTGCCACTAGGACCCCTAGACAGAATCAAGGCGCTAAGTGTATCCTACCTGATTCTCAGCAGCCAGCTGGGGCAGTGGAAGTATGATCTAGAGGCCTGTCCCCAGGCAGCATGGTGCTAGGCTTCTTAATGCAAGCTCCGCCCCTTCTGCTAAAAATATCCTGTCCCTGGGATCACTTATGACTCGTGCCAGTCTCAGAGCCAAGCCACAAATAGATGGCATTTGAGGGGCCTCCAACAATATGAAGGACATTTTCCTGGTGTAGGGCCTGCACTGGGGGCTGGCATCTGCTAAGATCACATCAGATTCCAACCAGAGATGACTGACTGCCTTATGATCAGCATACTACAGGTCTCCCTTCCCAAGAAGATCTGTGCCTCCAGCTCATTGTGAAACTCAGTTCCACCCCACCTACAACCTAAATGTCTCTAACACAACCTTGCAGACAATATTGCCAACCTAGATCTGACATCCTAGGCTCCTAAGCATTGCTAAACCTGCCAGTAAAACTAGAGGAAAATGGTGTATTCATTGTTCTTGTGAAGGGCTCCCCAGATTGGCATGGCATTGATCAGGGTCAAGGGAACAAAGTTTAGTCAGTGGAGAGAAAAAAGGATATTTGGCCGGGCAGTGGGGGCACACGCCTTTAATCCCAGCACTAGGGAGGCAGAGGCAGGCGAATCTCTGTGAGTTCAAGGCCTACCTGGTCTACAGAGCTAGCTCCAGGACAGCCAGGACTACACAGAGAAACCTTGTCTCAAAAAAACGAAACAAAACAAAACAAAAAAACCAGGTAGAGCAACCAGCCTCCCCTTGCTAGGCCCCGATCACCTTTCTGTAAGCCTGTCCGTTCTAAAACAGGCACTAGAAGACCCTTCTTTCTGAAGGACATGAGACACAGGGAGAGTAACTTATAGATAGCTAACACATAACAGCAAAGCTATCATCAAATTTGCAATTTGTTTTTTGAGACAGGGTTTCTTTGTATAGCCTTGGCTGTCCAACAGCTAACTCTGTAGACCAGACTGGCCTCAAACTCACAGAGATTCGTCTGCCTCTGCCTCCTGAGTGCTGGGATTAAAGGCTTAAATTTCTATTCTTTTAAGTCAGCTTCCAAATCTCTAGGGTGACAAGCATGTGCTACTATCCTCTTAAAAAAAATTTATTGTTCAGGGGCTGGAGAGATGGCTCAGCAGTTAAGAGCACTGCCTGCTCTTCCAGAGGTCATGAGTTCAAGTCCTAGCAACCACATAGTACCTTGCAACCATCTGTAATGAGGTCTGGTGTCCTCTTCTGGCCTACAAGCATACATAGAGACAGAACACTGTATATATAATAAATAAATCTAAAAAAATTATTGTTCTAAACTGGGCATTGTGGCGCACACCTTTAATTCCAGCACTCTGGAGGCAGAAGCAGGCAAATCTCTGCGAGTTCGAGCTATCCTGGTCTACAAAGTAAGTTCCAGGACAGCCAGAGCTGTTACACAGAGAAACTCTGTTTTGAAAATAAAATAATTATTATTATTATTATTTAAATAAAATATTGCGGGCTGGAGAGATGGCTCAGAGGTTAAGAGCACTGGCTGCACTTCCAAAGGTCCTGAGTTCAATTCCCAGCAACCACATGGTGGCTCACAACTATCTGTAATGAAATATGCTGCCCTCTTCTGGCCTGCAGGGACATATGCAGGCAGACCACTGTATACTTAATAAATAAATAAATCTTAAAAAAAAAATATTGCCCTAGACGAGGTTGTGCACACCAGCAATCCCACTAGGCAGATCGAAACAGAAAGATCAGGAGTTCAAGGACATCCTCAATTATGTACCAACTTCTAGGTCAATTTGGGCTACTTTGCCTGCTTCAAAACTCATGGAAATATGTTTGCTTTACTTTCCCCAGACACTTGGTATTGGTGGGTCACAGCACACTGCTTTGTTCCCACCTGGGACTAGGACACCCAGCATCGTATCCTGCAAAGATTACCTCATAGTAGTTTAGGAGATGCACAGATCTGGGTCTGTGCCCAGAGAGATGGCAGTCAAGCATTACATGGACTTCCTGAGATAAGACAACGCTGGAGAACAAGGATCACTAAAAGGTGAGTGTGGATAGTAGGACTAGGACAGAAAAGGGTCTTAGAGTGGGGCCAAGAAAACAGGCTTTGAGTAACAAGCATCACTTGACTTGGCTCAACCTTCAGAAAAAGCCCATTCTTCCACTCACACCTAACTGCAAACCTTCTTGGTGAGAGGGTGGGAACAGATATTTGTCGAAGGGAAAGGAACTGTAACTCATCTCATGCTAGGCAGGAAGATAACATGTTCATTACACAGCTGTCTTGTAGAGGCTGCACTTATATATAGTGACTCAGTAGGCACAAGAGGTTAGTTGGCAAAAGGAAGGAGGGCCTTCAGGGTCTTTGTCCAGGAAGAAAAAGCTTCCTGCAGAAGACGGAACAGAAATGGACAAAGCTTTGCCTGAAATGCCCCTGTGGGCCACAAGAGGGCACCAAAATTCTACTGTAAACCAGACAGAAGGTTCCAGCTGGCCTCAGTCTGGGGGGTCCCTAGTATGTTTCCCACTCTCCCTCCCGAGACAGAATAGAGTAGGTTAGGGGTTTCTCAGGAGTTTTCTAAAAGGTTTTTATGAGGCTATGCAGCTTCTTTCAAGACATTGACTAGAAGACAGGTCTCAAAAGTAAGGGCTGGGTGGGCCAGCAAGATGGCTCAAGAGGTATTCATTGCCAAGATTTACAACCTGAGTTTGATTCCTGGGAAATACATACATGCTCAAAAGAAAGAATCAACTCCTTTCTGTAAGTTATTGTCTTCTTGCCTACACACAGACACACACACACATACACACACACACACACACGCACACATGCGCGTGCTCAAATAAAGAGATAAGTAAATAAATAAATGTAGTTTTGATTTTTTTTTTAAGATTTATTTTTGTATGCATGTTCCCACAGAGGCCAGAAGAGGTCACTGGCTCCTTAGAGCTGGAGTTACAGGCCTGCCCACATGGGTTCTGCTCAGGTCCTCTGGAAAAGTACTAAGTCATTTCTCCAGTCTCTGCTTTTGTTATTGTTTTGGTTTCTCTTGATTTTTTTTGTTTTGTTTGTTTGTTTGCTTTCAGACAGGGTCTCTCTATGCAGTCCAACCTGTCCTTGCCATTTAGACCAGGTTGGCCTTGAAACCAGAGATTTGCTCATGTCTGCCCACAAAGTGCTAAGACTAAAAGTATCAGATTGACTTCAAGACCCTGTATAGGCAAGGACATCTGCCTTTCTTTTTAAAATAGGTTTACATGACTATGTTTAATCCCAGCACTCAGGAGTCAGAGACAGGTGGATCTCTATGATTTTTGAGGTCAGTTTGGTCTACATAGCCAGTTTCAGGCCAGCCAAGGCTGTACATAATGAGATCCTGTATCAAAAAAAAATTTTTTAATTAAGTTTTTAAAAATTACATTACATAATAAGTTAAATAAAATAGTCTTACTAAGATTAACACAGGATAAACTTCAAATGTTTAAAGTATATACTACTAGATTTTTACACAGGTTTTCAGCTAAAATGTCAATCTCCCAGACAGCCAATAGCTTGTCACCCAGAGCTGATTTCTGCCCTAGTGATTCTTCCCTCCCCTACCCTCCCCTCAAGTCACCATTGCCAATTTTCTGTCATTATGAAGTGGGTCACCTTGTCCAGAATTTTATGTAAATAGAATCATATGTTGAAGTCATCTTTCTGAAATAAGCACTCTGGCATCAATGAAAGTAGAAGAGAGATGTATCCACCAGTAGACTGAAGCCATGCTAGCTCCTGGAAAGTCTCGTATCAGTTTGCATTCATTCTTATTTTATACTCTAAACCTATAGCACAGAGCAAACAAGTAGGCAAAATTTCATTTTGTTTCATTTTTTGGTTGTTTGTTGTTGTTGTTTTGAGACAGGATTATGTAGCTTTGGAGCCTGTCCTAGAACTTCCTCTGTAAACCCAGCTGGCCTCAAACTCAGACCTGCCTCTGCCTCCCAAGTACTGGAATTAAAGGCATGAGCCACCATAGCTTGGCCAGCCACAAGCAAGATTTTACAGAAGCATAATGACGGCAGGTTGCTAAAGGCACAACAATCTATTGCTCGACTATTTCTTCAAGTCATTCTGTTCCAAGTCTCAAGTGAAGTCATTCTTGGCAAATAGGCAGTACAAGCAGTGCTTTAAGTAAATCACTAGATAAATCAGTAAGTTGGTAGTGGA